GCAATATTTGTTGAATGGCTTTTGAGTTTTGGTGTTTGCAAAGCTGTGTCGAAGCTTCCACGCCTGTGGAAGAGATTGAACATATAGCTGGGACATTAGTGACGTCAGCCATTCCCATGTAAATTGTTTCTGTTAGCAAGCCAGAACCATCGGAGTGTGCCCAGCTATCACTGTTTGGGGGCGCAGGCAGTGTCTTTCTACCTTGTAGTAGCATGAACTTTTCCAATCATATTACTGTGTCCTTAACCAACTCTGTTGTAGGTAGGTGCTAAACTTCAGGCTGAACAGTTAGTCCAAAATATTCTTTTGGAAAGAGGGGACTTGTGGCACTTTGAATTGCTGTAGTACACAACATACATGAGTACATTTCCTCTGCCCTGTTTGTAGAGAGGAGATAAGTACAGAGCTTTTTGTTTTTTGCACTAGGTGTTATAGAAAGCCTCTCAAACACAGATCCTCCTCCACTCATATATATAGTATTTTGCTACTGTGCTTGCAAAGCTCACACCCTCATTTTAATGTGAAATGCTAAAATCTGGACTGAGTAAAGAAGGTTAATGTTCATATTGTGGATTAGGATTATTAGGTATTGAAACATAGAGATGAAATTATTCTAGTCCCACACAGAAAGGAGGAGGGAAGCTTTATGAGATGACACCACTAATAGAATCAGTACAGAACAAATTCATTTAGAGCATGCTTGTTAAATTCATTAAAATTAATGAAAAGATAATTAAAAGCCATGGTGGATAAGATGGAACACAGTACGAAAAGGTTAAGTATTTAACTCAGGTTTTTGATTAGCTTGATTCACTTTGAAATAAATGCTGCTTGCATGCAGTTTGTTAGCATTACTTCCAAAATGTGTTTGAACAAGCCATGAATAGTGGCTATTCTGTACTGATAGAGAAAAAAAAATAGCTATGAGGAAAGACTGAAAGAACTGGGCCTGTTCAGCCTGGAGAAGAGAAGGCTGAGAGGGGATCTAATCAGTGTCAGTACCTCAAGAGAGGCAGTGAGGAGGATGGTGCTGACCTCTTTTCAGTGGTGGCCACTGACAGAACTAGAGGAAATGGCTGGAAACTGAAGCATCAAAAGTTCCGCACGAACTTAAGGAAAAAATTTTTTAACAGTGAGGGTGACAGAGCACTGGAACAGGCTGCCCAGAGAGGTTGTGGAGTCTCCTTCTCTGGAGATCTTCAAAACCCCCTTGGACGCAGTCCTGTGCCACGTGCTCTAGGTGACCCTGCGTGTGCAGGGGGGTTGGACTAGATGATCTCTAGAGGTCCCTTCCAACCTTACGCATTCTATGATTCTATGATTTCTATGACATCTACGTGGGCCAGCTCTAGTCAAAGAGAAGTAGGCAGTGAGTTAAAATATAAGCCCTGTAGAATGTGTATAGTTTTGACCATACAAGGGGCTAGCTGACTGGTTAATGTCTAGCATCTATGTACATTCCTGTACTACTAGATACCTATTTTTATCCTTTGTTAAATTTTTCTAGGAGTGACACCACAGCAGTCCCAAAGAAAATCACTAAGAATAGTTTCCCAAATCTGTTCTCACTTTTCTTTGCATAGTTATATAACTCTTAAATTTCTGTGCTTCGTTTGGCGTAAAGATTATCCCACCTCTACTGACTGCAGCATATTCTCCCCTATCAAAGACTACCAGACAGATTTTCTAGCAGTTTGACAGTCCCTTTGCTTTTTTTTTCTCTTCATTCTTACTGATTGAAATATCGGAGTGATTCCTTCCTAATTTTCAGCCAAAAATGATACTCTGCAGTGATGAACTTAGCTGTGCTTGAATGCCTATAATCTGCAGTGAAAAAAGTGGATATAGCCCATGTGCTCTGCACAGCCTGTCAGCAGTCAGTGTCATGCTGCCTTGGCAGGGCTACCTCCCTGCAGTTTGTCTCAGCAGGCACATCTCTCCAGGTAGATGCAAAGCTGAAAGTCGCAGGATCTGTGTAGCTAAACCAATGCCTCACATAGCCGGTTTGGAACCGAAATCTCTGCCTGCCCAAATGGATATGCCAGGTGTGTTCCAGGAGCAGGACTGAGGAATTAAGTTATTTTTCATACTAAAGAACTCTGCCATTTGAAGCTTTGTCACATACCATCAGTGAGCTTCTGCTTCTCCAACTAGTCTACCACATTCTACTTTTATTCACAGCACCATAAATCCAAAGGTCTGCATTCTTGTTCTTTTTTTTTTTTATAGAGGGCAGAGATTGAGTCATCATTTCTAAAGCTGAAAGTCTATGGTATTCGTCCAGCCTGCCACCTAAGCCTTTTAAATGGAAATGTCAATCTGTAATAGGTTGGGGACGTATTCTGACACCATATTTTCTTATTTTATGTCTGATTCTGCAAGTCAGCCCACTGAGTGACTTTCCGAAGTGAAATCGGAGGGTAATTTGAGTCTGACAGGATTGCCTATAATTTGCCATTTAGTAGACCAGAAATAATAAGAATAGTGGAGTATTTACTACATTTTCTGTCCTTTCAATTTCCATCTGTCATGTAGGATAGAGAGAGTGTGCTTAGCACACTTGGGATCAGATTTCACTTGGTCTGAATTGTGTCATTCTGTTTTGTTCACGTGACATCAGTTTACAGTAAGTGAAAAATTGGCTCGGAATTTTTTTCCCCATTTGAGATTATCTCCTAATAGAGTGGGAAGATATTATAAATCTGCCTTTGTTTAGTTTGTGCTTAACTGCCTCAATCAAACATTTGAGATCGTTCTACATCAAACGTAATATTATGTGAACTTCTGTAAAATGGAATGTAAGTATATTCCAGCACTGATGATAATGGTTTTGCCCCTCTTTTCTGCAGCAATATGAGAACTGGCGACCAAACCAGCCAGACAGCTTCTTTTCTTCTGGAGAAGACTGTGTTGTTATAATATGGCATGAGAATGGGCAGTGGAATGATGTACCATGCAATTATCACCTTACCTATACCTGCAAGAAAGGAACAGGTACAAACTTTGCAGTAACAATACCTTTAGTAACCATATTTTTCTAAAATCCAGTTTTGCAAAGCTAGAAGGACAAATTCTAGCTGATTCCGAGTGACTGGTACAATGATCCCACAACTGAGTTCACCGCACAAAATTACCCTTCATCTGTAGCCACATATTACATCCCTTTCTAGTCAGTTCTTGTCAGAACAAAATTTTGATAGACAGTTGGAATAGACAGAGGTCCACTAGTGTGTAGTTAGTGTTTTAACTTCAGTTGGCCATACTTTACCCCTATCATGCTACATTCTGTCTTCTTGTTTTCCAATATCATATGGTTTAATGTCACCACTGGAACCTGAAAAAAACATTTGGTTTATACAATGTTAGAACCAATATGCATGTGAAACCCAGCAGTTCCCTGGAGCTATATACATTAACACCTTAGGGAATTCCCTGCCTCTTTGGAATGGGAAAGCAAAAATCTAAAACAAATTATTTTATGCCTCCATTGCTGTCCACTTTTGTTTATGTTTTATTGCCAGGTTCCCTCTACCTTGATGGATCCAGATGGATCCATCAATTTTAAGTATTTTAACATATTCTGTCACAATGGAAGATTTTTTTTTTTTTTTTAAAGCTTGTAGTTACTTCAGTAGTTACAAGATTCTTCAGCTTTCCAGGGAGAATATTCTTTGTATGGCAACCAATTTGATTCAAAAGTCAAAATGTCAGAAATTCAAACCAGAAAGGAAATTCTAAACACACTGGCAGGAATTTCCATTATTATTATACTTGGTCTACAAAAGCCAGAGCACTTCAGTATAGGACAGACTTCCCTGTCCTTCTTTGGCCATGCGTCTTAAATTTCTTAATGAAGTCATTTGATAACTTTCCTCAGTCAGGATTTTAAAATCAATGCATCACATTCAGAAGTGTATTCACAAACTGATGTTTTGAGTTTTATTTTGTTTTCTTCTCTTAGTTGCCTGTGGTCAGCCTCCTGTTGTGGAAAATGCCAAGACCTTTGGAAAGATGAAACCTCGTTATGAGATCAACTCCCTTATTAGATATCACTGCAAAGATGGTTTCATCCAGCGTCATATTCCAACTATCCGGTGTCAAGGGAATGGAAGATGGGATATGCCTAAAATTACTTGCATGAATCGTAAGTTCTTTGAAGGGAAGCCACTTCTTGATCAGAAACAATAAAATCATTAACGCTAGAATTAATAAGGAGTGAATACGTATCTTAAGAGAATAACAAACCGATATTCCAGATGACAGCAATACTGGTCATGTTATCTGTTAAAAAAATATCAGGCCTCCAAAAATAATGAAAATATTCATCTTCAGATTTTACAGTATCTACAGCACTCTTAGAAAGACCCTGAAATCTGTAGGTTCCTAATAACCCTAACAGTGCTTTCTGCAAAGGTGCTCTATGTGTAGGAAATGCTTTCCCTATCTGTGACATGGTTACTAGCTTGTTAATCCTCTACTTAACCAATAATAAATGGAACCTTAGTCTGACATATAGCCATCTTTAAGGTTCATATAATTTTAAAATATTTTCCTTGTCTCCTCTTTTTTGCAGCGTCCACATACCAAAGGACTTACTCGAAGAAATATTACTATAAACATTCTTCATCAGGAAAAGGAACACCATTAAATTCATCAAAACACTATCATCGCTGGATCAGGACGTGGCAGGACTCAAGGCGCTGAATGTTAGGTGGTGAATAGGGATTTCCACCATTTCAGCCAAAGTCCTAACTTTCTGTGCCTTTTCTATCACTTATGGGGGTATTATCAAATTGTTTTGAAACTACAGACTCCGGTATTCACAGTGCATTTTGCAAAAACATGGCATTTATCAGAAAATTCAAATAAAAAAATTAAAAAAATATTTAGCGGAGTACTTGTGGAGAGGAGAGGAGAGGAAACCATTTCCAGCCTATACGGACTATTAGTTTTCTATATGCCAGCTGTGTGGACAATTTTATGATGTACACCAGCCTACTGCAATATTTAAACAGCGCAATTTTAGCACCAATGAAAATGTAAATAAGATGATTTTAATTGTTCAGTTGTGTGTTTTTAAAATCCTGTATATAAAATGAAAAGTCACACTAAGTTCAGGCATATTTAAGGTTAGAATGGCCTCAGAGGTCTTCAGTCATTTATGACATTGTTTCTGTGTCATTCACCTAGGCTGGAAATGGTTGAAAAAACTTCATTGACTGAGATTTGCTGTTACCAGATCAACATAAATACACAAATTACATTACTTTTTTTTTTTTTTTTTTTAAAGGGGATCTGTGCCGTTTACAATCCAGGGTACAATTTGTGTCTATTTGATACAAAGTTTAGACACAGCACATAAAGTGGGGATGAAACATGAACTAGGGACTGCAATGTGGAACTTTTTTCTGCTCTCCATTGCAGCTTCATCATTCATGAAAAAGGAGTGCATGGAGGACTTGTATATGACAAGGAGGGCCTGTAAAAATCCAAGTGCTAATACATAAACTTTATCAACCAGGGCCACTTTTTTGAAAAAAAATAAAAGAAAAAAAAACAACTACTTTCACAACATTAACCACAAGGTCTAAATTACAGGTCTCTGCATTCTAAAATGGAGCTAGACCTAGTGCTTGAGGATTTTTTTTTGTAAAAAACAAGCAAAAATCAAAAAAGTAAATAATTTTGTATATATAACCATTTTTTAATCTTTTTATAAAGTAATGAATGTTTGTGTATGAATGCTGCAGCTGTGAAGCGTACATAAATAAATGAAGTAAGCCATACTGATTTAATTTATTGGATGTTATTTTACCCAAGCAAAGAAGATTAAAAGAGCTTACCAGTGCCATATTAGCCCCTGAACTCCACTTTTGGAACCATCTTTCAGTTCAACCACTGTTTCCCTGGAGAACAAAATTCCTACTAAACAGGATCATTTGTTTGAGATTAGATGGGTGAGAACTGTGTGATTTGCAGAAGAATCAGGATCTTGGCTTTCTATAAAGAAGTGTGTGCACAAAGAGATTATAGATTGTAGTTGGTGAAGTGTGTACGTAGGAGTTTTCTTTTATGATTTTTTTCCCCTGGTCAGCTCGATGGCTGACCTGGGTGTGTACAGTAAGTGTAGAAGGTGACATTTAAAATAACCTCTCCACAGAAAAGACTGTGTATGGTTATTTCCATAAAGTGCCTTCCACATCTTAGGGCACAGGAAAAAATGTTAAAAAAAAAAAAAAAAGAGGGGGAACAGTAAGTTCCCTATGATACACCTTTTAAAATATTGTTACAAATACGAACATAAATGGGGGATTTATGCATTTTTGTTAGTGTGGGGAAACGATGCCAGAAGTTGAAAAGGAAAGGAAAAGAACTGGAAACCTTGCCAATATGCAAGAGCTTGTACTAGGTAGAGCTGCTCATAACATAATCTTGCCATAGCTCACGAGGTACAGAGATTGCAGTCCTGACAACATCTCTCAAGACACTCCAGTGACCATTTCAGCAAGTATATCTTGATTTTTGTGTGTTCTCCAAGGCAAAACGTCACTGGGTTGGCCGGTTCGTTCCCCACCCACTAACCAATGCACATAATACTTTTCTCTATTTATATTATATCTTGTATAGTGTATAATGTGAATGTCTGTTATTTTGTGAATGAAAGTCTAAAATCTTTGTAACTTTTATAACTGCTTCTGTTTCACCAAAGAAACAAGGTTTTGCTATACTGTGACTTGTCTTGTTATTGCATGTCTTCCTGTTTAAATCTATGCAATGTGATTTTTCCATATGAATACAATTAGATCATCATGGATGAGCAACTGTCAGGTACTTCACAGTTATTATGGGCTGGAGTCAAAGAGAATCAGCTGGCTGAACTTTAATAGATGCTGAGTTTGACTTCATACAAGAAACTGTAAGGGATTTGGGAATGGTATTTTAAAATCTACAGTGTGTGTTTTGAAAACACTTTTTGCTTGTGTAAGTCAAGGCTCTGTTCATAAATATACAATATTCTACACATCACTTCCTTGTACCAAAACATACAGAACAGAAAGTATATTTTAACACTTTGCAAACTTTCTCACCATATGTATAAAAAACCCTGCATAGATTTATTGTTTTCTTGTCTACTTGTTGGATTTAAACAATGTTGTAAGGCATTCAGATAACATTGTGATTGTAGTTTAAATAGGTTAGGTACAGTGCTTATATTGATTTTTTTTTCACCTCCTTCTCCTAATACTCATAATAAAATAGGACTGACAACATTCCTTATTGAAAAAAACAAAACTGTTACCATGCTTTTTTATTTAGACAGAAAATGGAACTTTCTTCAGCTCTGGGGGCTCTTTTTAATACTAATCTAAATCCCAAATGGTCTAGTACTAATTCACTGCTAGAAGCCCCCATTCACATCCTAGAATTGCCATGCTGTTTGGACTGGTGTGATAATTGCTACCCAGAGAGGAGACGGCATTTCCACAACTAATGACACAATTCCTTTACATGCAATGTCACTGAACTCTAGTATACGAAAGCATGTTGAGTTTAGGAAGATAAGCTTGAAATACAATTTTTTTCTTCAAATGAATGTTTCTTAAGTCTGTTTTCTCACCTTCCAAATTTGTCCAAAATTCTCTTTAACTTCCTTTTTTTCTAAGCTGCCCTGTGTCTGCTGCAGTGATAGAAGAGTCTGGTTTAAGCTGTGAATTTCAAACACAGGCAAGGCAAATAGCATAGTATTCCTGTAGCAATCCCCTGTTGTGTAAGTATTAAGTTTTTTCTGTCTACTAGCCCACTTTCTGCTGCTTAGTAAAATCCTGAAACAGCTATTGATGAGGAGCTGGAAAGGATGGGGTGTTGCTGATGAAAGTCAGTAGCTAAAAGGAAGGCAGCCCTTCCTTGCACATCAGTGGCTTGTTGCATATGCAATATTTGGATCAAACCAGGCTTGAGTCGCAGGACTGCACACAGAGCTGAGGATGCCTCAGAGAGCAGCTGCATTTCACATACCCATGAATATGGGAGCACGACAACTCTTTCTCCAAATGCCGTCTTGCCCTGTTAGGTAGTGACAGTATTTAACTACTTGGCACGAATCTCAGCTGATGGGGTTCACATCCAACTGCGGTTACTGCTGCACAGAACAAGGTACATCCAGCTGCTTATTGCGGTACAGTTTCTCCCTGTGGCCAGAGAGCACACTGCTTTTTGGAAACATTCCTGTATTTCAGCTGGGTCCTAAAAGATGCTGATCTTTCTTAACGTGGGAGAGAGCAGATGTGTCTATGGCAGACCTTCCTAGTGGACACTGGTTTCCACATGAACTTGTGGTCTGTCTGAGAGGTCGATGCAATCAGGATCTCCTCAGAGGCTGGATGGAAGAACCGAAGAACCACATGGGAGAAAATACACAGTTCTGGAAAGGTGACTTCCAGGTGAGCGAGATACAAGAGGCTGCCAAGGGGCTGGTAAAAGAAAGCAGAGCCTGCACAGGAGACTTTGCAATCAGAAATTTGCTTGCGGGACAGTGGCTGGAGGAATATTGTCCACAGCCTGACCTATGGGCATGGTTTAGGCCCAGGTCAGTGATTCATCCCCATGGCCAAAGTACTAGCAATGAGCATATGCAGAAGTCAACACACACATGTAAATGACATGCCAAGAGGTGGCTGGAGCTGCCACAGCTCCTGAGCACTAGAGGTGTAAAAGGACCATCAGTGCAGAGACTGGAAGTGATTGGGGAGGAAGTAAAGGAAGGGGAGGAGGAGGTGGAACTATTAATTTGAGTGCTACTAAGTAGCTTTTGAAAAGCTGGGTTATGGTAGTAGCCCTGAAAGCCTTACTTGTGGATATAGCTAGAACTGCTGTGAAGATCCACGGTTTGCTGTTCTAGCATATTTTACTTTCAGTTTTTGTCTCATATTCATGCTGTAGAGAGTGATATCTCCGTTTGCGCGTGCTATGTTTTCCTCTGCTGGAATGCTGTCTGTTAAATGCCACCTACCTCCTTCAGAAACAATGAATTCTTCCTGCTGTTACGTGCACGCGCACACACACACAAAAAAACACTTTTGGATGCCTCTCTTCTCAGCCCCATCCTTGACCAGCAAGTGGGACTCCCAGAGCTCCTGAGCAGCTCCATTTGCTTTGGTAGGATGTATAGGCAGGAGGCACGTGGCAAAAAGCAGTTCTGTGGCTCAGTCTAGACAATAAGAAGAAGGAAAAAGAAGGCAATTGTGTTTTTAGCTTAATTAAAAGCCTACTAATGACCAAAGAATCCATGAATTCCTGAGGGATCCCTGTGACTTGAGGTGGAAGACAAGTCAAGCAGTTTAGGGTCTTCAGCTCTCCAGATAGAAAACTGCTGCTTTAATAGGAAGTAATGAAAGGTTTCTGTCTCAAAAATGGCCATAAAATCTCAGGGCTTAGAGCAGTTTCATCATACCTGAAGAGAAATATCTGGTCAGGGCTAAAACTTTTCATTATATTATTTATTGTAAGCAGTAATG